CATTAAATTCCAGTGAAATATATTTATGTTTGTGGTTGTAATGTGACAAAATATGGAAAAGTTCAAGGGGTATGAATACTTTTGCAAACCACTGTATGTTGGAAAAAGATAAATAAAAAATGATCATCTAGCCTTGCAGTACAGTTGATTTGTGTCAGGCTCTGATGTAGAGAAGCAGATACCCTCTGCCCTGTTCATTGTATGTCATTTAAAGAGTTGATTTTTACACAGATTCTCACAGAATGACAGGAGCAACAATATGTTCTGATTTCATTCATATCAGCACCACAAAAACGTTTCAGGCTCAGGATTTATTATAATTAACTTTAAGCCCTGTTAGTGTTCAGCACTGATGCCTCACAGCAACAAGGTCCTGGTCCGATCCGCAGTTTGGACCAGAGGTCTTTGTGGGCAGTTTTCATGTTCTTTTCGTGCTCATGCTGGTTTTCTCTGGTTTCCTCAGGCAGACCAGAAGTCATGTTGGGTTCAGGCCCAGAACAAAGGGATCTGTGATCTCACTGGAATTCACCAGGTTAAATAAAGGTTAATAAATAAATTTAATGCCACGATGGCTGGTGGTGGATTAGCTTTAGTCCATCCCAGCACGGTCTGTCAGCCTGCAGTGTTAGACTGTACCTACTCAGGTGTTCAGAACACCTGYCAGTCATTGTCACCTTCTCTTTTACTTCAACAGCATGTTATAAAATCCCTGCTGCTCACCAGGAGTCATCCCTGACTTTGATTGTGTCCAGACTTCTTATCAGGCTTATCATGGATGTAATTTAGCCCCAGCTCAGCAGGAGGGCTGAGGAGCACTGAGGTGAACATTTTCATTAAAGCCAGCATTGTTGCTCAGGTGTGGACAGAAAAGAAAGGTGTGGCAGACTAACAGAAGGACCTTTTATTTTTCTTCTCTTCATCACTTCACTGATCTGTCAGGATAAATAAAGAGAAATGTACTGTCAGACCCTCTGTTTGACCAGGTGCTGCTGCTGGGTCGATGCAGGAGCCAGTTCAACCAGTTAAGATGTGACTGTTAAACACTGCTCCCAGCATGGCTCCTGAACCTCCCTGTAGTGGATCAGAGAACAAAGGACCGTTTATCTACACAGTTCAGTGTTTTATTGTATTTCTAGTCTTGTTTATATCGTCTGTTTTTGACTCTTGTTCTTGGATATTTTTACCACTAAGCACCAGATCTGTAAATTAAAACATCCAGCAGTGTTTTTACAGTGGTAAACATTATTATTACATTCTTTCAGAAATGCAGCTGGTCACTGTGCATTGAGCAACACTCAAGCACAGTATTAAAGGAAAGGTTTGATGTGTAAAAGTTATAAATTATTCACACTTATTGTAAATAATGTGTTGAACACTGGGACGATAAGCTAGTCCCAGTGTAGTAAAAACCATGGTGGATTTCTTCAAACTGACGTTTTTCAACAAGATCTGTACAACATGTAAGATGTTATATATTTATAACAATTACACAGAAACTCACTTCACTATAGCAGAACTACAAGCTACATTGGCCACATAAAGAAGTACGGCTGTTTTTCTGGGGGTTTTAAACCTTGTAGATTTAATAAAATGGTGCTAAGCTTAGCACTTGTTCAGAATCAAAAGATACAATAATCAATGCCCAATATTTCTTCTAAAAATTTGTTTATAATTAAATTGTTACTGGTCAGTTTTGAAATCTGGTCAGCAGACATGTTTGAGCACAAGCTTTCATTTTTTACAGTTTCAGGCACAAGTCTTTGTTTTGTACTGGAGAAGTGATGATTCTTCATTCCCACAAAGATCCACATGTTGTGAAGAACTTCTACAATGTGTGTGTCTGCCTGACCTTAGTGTACACACAGCAGATAAGGCCTGTGTCACACAGGATAATTCTGCTAAATTCTGTCCTGATTTTGCCCTTCTGACAATCTGAAGGAAGTCCAGATTATCATGATGGCTCTAAAGATAATCTGAGCAGATATTCCTGCTGTGGGGGGGTGGAGTTAAGAGTGATCTAGTCGGCTCAGAAGGACGTCGGAACCGCTCCGACCTCATATTGAGGATATTCAACATGTTTTAATTTTGTGGCCTGATATCACAGTGTTTAGTGTTCACCTGAGCTCTCAGCCTGTTGAATGAGACGTGTAGCCAATCAGAAAGAGAGGTGACGTAAACACAGAGGGGATTCCAAACTACAGAAGACAGAAAAAACCGTCATGAAAGTCTGCTGGATGTTAAAAGTAATTTGGAATAGTTTTTCCTCTGGTAAAAATAGTACACAAATTGTTTTTCCTCTGGTAAAAATAGTACACAAATTGTTTTTCCTCTGGTAAAAATAGTACACAAATTGTTTTTCCTCTGGTAAAAATAGTACACAAATTGTT